TTATGCTTTAAATAAATTATCACCGCTAAAAAAATGAAAAATGAAGGTACCGATAGGCTTTTTTTTTAACTTAATATAAAAAATCGTAGTAACCAAAAAATGAAAAAAATAAAAATGATTGAATCCACAAATCAGGTCGACTGCCCGTTCATCGTATGCATGACCTACGCCTTCCACACGCCTGACAAGCTCTGCTTCATCCTCGACCTAATGAACGGAGGTGATCTGCACTACCACCTCAGCCAGCACGGGGTCTTCAACGAGCCCGAGATGAAGTTTTACGCCGCGGAGGTGATACTCGGTCTCGAGCACATGCACCGGCGCTTCATCGTCTACCGGGACCTCAAGCCTGCCAACATACTTCTCGACGAGCACGGCCACGTCAGGATATCCGATCTCGGACTGGCTTGCGATTTCTCGAAAAAGAAGCCACACGCCAGCGTGTCAGTATTTTTTTTTTTTTTTTTTCTTTTACTTTTTATGGTCCACGGGAGGGTTTATGTGTTAGCCAGTGCTAGCTGGAGTATTTATGTGTACAGGGCTGCGAAAAAAGTCGCTGGTCGGAGTGTCGGTGGGCTATAAATTTTTGTAACTGCTGCATAAATCTCTCGGTGTACGTAGAAGCTCCGCGAGGCGTGTAGTGGCCGTGTCCGATTGAACGATCGATTTTTTTAAAAAATCGGGTCGCGGACCATACCTATGATTTATGGGCTCGTTTCGCGTGATATGAATAATGAGCACCTACCGGTGTGATTAAAATTCTTGGGCAAATTATTTCCAAGCGTAACTCAGTGTTTCAAGGTGAACTCGATTTTTTCGGGGTGATACACCGTTTCGAGGGGTTATTTATCAAGTTCCTTGACGAAATCAATCTAAAATCATTGAAGAATCGTTTGTAAATGTAGACGCATATTTAAATCTATAATAAAATGGTACCTGAGATCTCATACAACTAATGAAATTAATGAAAGCGAGTAAACGATTGTAAACTCTGTTTGTAAACAGAGGACGTACATTTTTTCAGTCTCTGAATGTAAAAGTATACCTATCGGCCACTATACTTAATTCATGAGGAAAAAGTTTTAACGTATTTATTTGTGGAATTAACTTTGGTTTTTCTTCACTGATTTCATCATAAAAAAATAATTTCAACTATAGAATCAGTTTTTTCTGTCTTTTACAAGTACATCATTAAAAATGAGTATACTTGAAACAAAAAAGAAAAAGATACCTATAATTTTATTATACTCCCAACAGGGGCACGCACGGGTACATGGCGCCAGAGGTGCTGTCGAAGGGAACGGCTTACGACTCGAGCGCTGACTGGTTCTCGTTTGGCTGTATGCTATTCAAGCTGCTCAAGGGCCACAGTCCGTTCAGGCAACACAAAACTAAGGACAAGCACGAGATCGACCGTATGACCCTCACCACGGTTGGTACTTGTTGTACACATAAATATATATTTTTTTTTTTTTTAGACTTTTCAGATTACTCCACAGAATTTTAATTACTGACAGTAGGTTGGGAATAGCGAATTCCTTCTCATTTCTGTATGCATGATTTTAGCTTGATGAATAGGCCGGTTTTAGTGGTCAAATTTTGTATGATGATAGTATAACAATTATAATAATAGCAATAATTATAATAATAAATGATAATTAATAAATAACCAATAACAAATAGTAACTAATGATGACAGTTATTAAAATTTATTGTCAGTCTTAAAACACGATTTTATGATTTCTTATTGTCGTTTTTTATCGCTTATCATTAGTTATCCGCTAAGATAACTTTTGTTTAAGATGTTTGAATTTTTTCTGGGTAAACAAAAGAGTTTTTTTTTCACCTTCGACACATGTCTTAAGCAACTCAACATAATGAGAATCGGCTATAAATTTTATAAGTAATTTTTCATTAAGAACTCTACAAGTATTCGCAGTTTTTTTCGAATAAGTAATTTGGCAATCATTTTTAAGCAAAAGTACACACTTGAGGTTACGACAGTATGTAGATACGTATAGATTTACATCCTATTCGGTGACTATAAATAACAAACTTTAATGTCAAAGAAACCAAACAACAAATTTTAAGATGAACAATAAAAAGTTCAAGACCTGACGGTGGAGATGCAAATTTTTTTTTTTTTATGAATATTTAAGAATAATAACGGAGTTATGCAGCATGCAAAAAAAGAATGTAAATTTTTTACACAGTACTTGACCTATTATTCACACTTGTGCGGCACTGAAAAAACAAATATTCTCAAAGTTGTGTAGGAGAGAAGGAGTAGTTGATGCATCCATTTTCTGTTGATATATTATATACGTGCCCTACGGTGCGACCGATGTTGGAAAACTTGCAGTTTTTTTTTCGATGATGAATGAGTTTGGGGAAATAAATTGGTTGAGAAGACTCGCAAGTAACATAAACTACCCACAAACTTTTTTTTCGTAGTTATTATATATTAGCTTTTCAAAACGAATTTTCATTAGTAAGATTGGACATAACTATAATTTAATTGAAGTATGAGTGCATTTAAAAACATAAATAGAATTTCGAAAGAAGAGTGTAGTACAGATTATTTTTTAAATAAATCTCTATTACTCTTAAATGGTAATTAACAAACAAAAAGTGAAATTCTTTTTAATATATAACCTTTTCTTTATAATCTAGTAAATTTATGAGTATTTTCTTGTATCAGAGATTCTGTATAAAAGGCTTTTTTTAATGGATGATTTTTTTTCCTTAACTTACTAGTCGTTTATTTTTTCCTTCCATGATATATCACTTTTGATTACTTATGTTTGGTCTTTTGCGGAGTCATAAAACATACAAAAATATCACATGAAAATGTTGCTCTTGCCTCAAAAGGTCAAACATACTAAATTGGTAAAATTACTTCCATGGCTTATAAACAGTTGTGCGGTAGTGTACATAAAAAAAAAAAAAAAATTATGAACCCATACATTTGTATTTTTCATGATACATTCACGAATACCCGTTTCTTTATCAAATTTCGAATCCGATACATCAGACCACACCAGTACGTCAAATTCAAGGTATCGTAAAATATTTTCGCCCCCCCCCCACTCTTTTCCCCTTGTACAACATGAGTCGTTGCTTTTTTTGCGTACACCTGCTTTGTCGCACGACCATTCATCTTCTCCAAAAGAACAAAATCCTCATCGCTCACTCGACAGATCCTCTAACACTCTTCTTGATTTCCGTAGACAGTAGGTCTTTTTCACCTTAGGCGAATAGTACGAATGATACAAAGTGACGCGAAAGGGAAAGTTTTTTTTTTTCTAAATAAACTTTGCGATATGAAGTACAATACAACTATTCCATTCATAAACTATTAGCACTCTGGAACAAAAAACTTGAAAATATTGGGAATGCACTTTCAAACTAATTTCGTTTGATTCGTTAACCCATAAATACACTCTCAACTTAATTAATTGAACTCATCAAAGAGTCGCTTCACACCTCACGAAAACCCATAATTTGAAGAGAAAAAAAAAAAAAAAAAAAAAAAAAAAAAAAAAAAAAAAAAAAAAAAA